GTTTGTCCTTAAATATTTATAACTTTAATATAGAAAGCATGTAATGAACCAAATAGAACCTTAAAAAATGTATGAATTAGGTAATGGGCACCTATATGTAGAATAAGTGGAAATGAATAAAACTTACTTTATGCATCTTCGTCCATACATTATGCATAATATTATCATTGAGTAAAATAATACAAATAAATAATAATAATTTATTAGATTTGATGATATTATTTTGAGTGTGTGCAATGTGCATACCGCATATGTTGTTAGAATATGCCATATCATATATAGGTTCTATACCTATTATCACAAATTGCCTTAGACTCCTCGATTTAACCACTTATTAAAATGAATCACAATATTATGTTGGAGATGTACTTGCTTTTTTTCATATCTATAATATTATTAAAATAATAGATTCTCTTATCACATTTACTATTATTATATTATAATGTGAGCGATTTGTATTATTTTTTTTCTTTTATATACCTATATCTGAAACCCTAAGTAAATGACGTTTATTAAAATTATTAAGACGTGATAAATAAGATAAGTTTGTTAAAGTTAAAATAATAATATAATATCCAACGAAGAAAATAGTTGTATAAGAATAAACAGGAAGACACTGTTATAATATGTATTTCAGAGATGATAATATATTTCCCTCAAGTATTTGCAATAAAATAGGTATTTATATAAGTTATAACAGTTTCATTTAATACTTCGAATCGATTGTGTGCAGGCTTCAAACTCGTACTTGCGAGATGCACTAAATAGATACACATATATTATTATCCTTGAGATTATAACGACGAGTGGAAATATAATACAAAAATCTGTGTTTTTTCCTTGTAATATGCAATCGCCAATCGACTACCTTCGCATTTTCCAAAGCGTCGATTTTATTGCAGTGTAGATGTTTTAAGTGACATGCTCAGTGCAAGTGGCCCTAGGGAATATATAGGTCGGTGTTCTCGGATTGAAAGACACGATTTTGGTTTTTTTTTCTATCTGCATGCAAAGATGGCGTGGATAGGCGCAGATACACGAAATAAGTAGTTCACTTCCGGACATATACGTACCTACACCACTTAGTGTACCGTATTGCTGTAGGAAATTTATATTCAGAAAACAATATTGGAAAACGACGAAAGTATAATAGTGAAAGTTGTACTGCACCATATATGCGTATTATTGTATCTCAATATATCTAGGTATCTTGGTATATAAATTATATGTGTAGATGTGCACAGAGAATAGTATCATAAATGAAAATATTGTATGATTATATATGTAGTGGGTTTAAGGAAGTCGGTAAAAAAACCTATGAAAAAACACGCAAGCCGAATAATCCCAGGAAAAAAAATCACTAAAAAAATAAAATAAAATACACCATGTTAAAAAAAAAAGCTTACTAGAAAAATGGGTTGGATAACCAGGTTACCAGTGAATTTCATTCTATTACCCAACTATTGATAAAAATATTGATATTTTGACCGATTAATTTATGTATATCTCTTGTTGCCTTATATATGTGTATGGGTACCTACATAATTAAACATTTAACTGGGTATACGTGCGTCGTGCACTGATTCAATTCCATTCAAAACAATCAAGTTAGGTACATATTTAATGAAACATATTATTCTTATTTGGTAATAAAGATTTTTTTTAATGTCTTAAATCATACCTTGTGTCAAATAAATAATCAAACATTCAAATAATTTTGGATTTTTTCCTGGGTTAATTTTTTGCTTTGGGTTTTTTCCATGAGTTTTTGTCCATTCGATTCGGCTATAATCTCGTGCCTGTACAACAGACGCGTACAACTACAGTGAGTAACGAGCACTGTTTTAATGCGCATTAATTTTACGACTGTATTTTGGTTCGGAGTTGGTTAAAACCACAAAACTTTATACTCGACGGTTGGTTTCTAATTATCTTTATCGAAATTAAATCTTCGCGCAATATTATATAATAATAGTATAATATAGAGTATATTCCTGCAGAAACATGAAAACCATGCAGACGCGTCGTTGTGAAATCGTTACGTTTTTAGCCGGGCTTGGTCGTATTCAAACGTAATAATATAATATATAGGTATAGGTTTAATGGTACCCATACAAACAGTGGTGCTCACTCGAAAGTAAATAGGGGTAGCATATCGAATCAGTTACCTCTATATTGGCTAATAGGCTAATGCCTATGTATACATTATACATAATATAGCCTATAATTATTCAATAGTTTATTTTTAATATTTTTATGCGTAGTAGAATTTTTATTATGTAAATATTTTGGGGGCAGGGAGCTACCCACCCACACACCAAAAGATTCAGTTGTAGCAGCTGCTACCCTTGAACTCTACAGTGTGCTCCACTGAATATTAATTATACATAAAATAATACTATGTGTATATATATATATATATATACCGTGTGGTATCGTCTGGCGGGTCGCTTAACGCTCGATTGCCCAACGGAATGTCCCGAATACCTATACATTATGTACATCATTACACTACACAGTACAAATACACACTACACAGTACATATACATAGTGTACACACAGTATATGTATACACCCGAGTACACGTCATATACTACGGGTCTGAGTGTAGGTACCTACCTGTAAAAAATGTGGCGCAATATAGGACGCGGGTAAAGAATTCAGAAAGAAATGCGGTGGCGACCGCACGTGGGGGTGGCGATTGGAAACCCAAAGACGACCGATTGTATTTGTACGATTCGGTCAGCAGGCAACCATATTATATTTAGTATTGCTATGAACTATTTTGTATACACAATAACAACTTCAGTAGGAATATACTCTGTATAGGTATATAATATTATTGTTATCATCATCATCATCATAATCATCATCATCATCATCATCATCATCATCATCATCATCATCGACACTTAATGCATCGCAGCCGGGGAGTGTATTGTGGAGTACACCAATACTCTCTTTATGTATATCTAGTTAATCTATATAATATCAATGTAATATATTATTATTACTATCGTCGTTTAGAAAATGTAAGTAATTTATAAAATGTCCGTTAATAGTATTATTACGTTATAAGCAACGGTATATTATACCTATTACGAGCTGGTGTATAGCCGAAGTAGATAGAAAATAGTTGCTATGGCCGTCAGAAAAATAAATAAATTAAATGCGTCTTATGGCCACAAGTGGTAAATTGTAAATACACAATCATTTCGAGTGAATAATACTACAAAGCGTCTACTACTGACGGATCAGGCAGAAAAAGTGAGTACGTTGCTATTTACAACAGTATATATTATTATAGTATAGTCATTAAATATGTGACATTACCTCTTAACAATATCTGAACTTGCCTATATGTACAGATTATTTGCATTAATTATTTTATTTTTAATGACGTTTAATAGGCTGGCATATACAGAAAAAAAAACGTAAGACATTCTTGTAGGAGTTTATATTTTAAATGGGCATTAAACCAAACATTGTCTGATGAAATAAAATATACGGTCTACCAGCCTACCTACTCTACGATCGCCCAATTCAAAACCTGTTATTCATAATAATGTAATGCCTCACTATTTGCCTAACCTTCAACTAGAAATTCAATAAAACGTCTACCTAGGCATTTCTTAACACGACTACCGTCTAAATACATATTATGTTTTCTTTTAAACGCCGGAACGAACAATTAGTGAAATTTTCCTATTCCACCAAACGACTATAGGCGTATGATATTATGCTGCAGTCAAGTCGACTAATCGTCGTCGTAGGTATATTATTATTATAATATTACCTGCGACGTCACTGGCGTGAGAGGTTAGATACGATGATATACCAAGTGTATGGTAAGTGGTAGTAGTAATAGTAGTAAAATAAAGTCGGGTTCACACTGTGCCGTGTCGTGTAAAACAATTTTATCCGATAGGCTGAACCAGGTGGTATACCATACATATTGTGTATCGTTTAATAATTATGTGTGGAAAAGTGATACTTAACTAAAAAAAAAAAAAAAACGATGATATGTTATTGTCAGGTACATTATTCACATCATTGTTGGTATTGCATTTTTTGAATAAACGTAAAAAAATGCACCTCAAGACACGACACAATGTAGTGTGAACCCAGCTTAAGACGTTAAAATATGCGCATATAGTCGTGGCCAATGCGTGAAGGTATATTCAATCATAATAAATTATTATCGTGAAATACATTTCACCCCATTTTAAGAGGGTGGAAAAAAACGGTGGCGCGTCGAGTGCACTTGTCTTTGCGTGTGGGTGGTCGGGGGTTGGCCGTATTCGGAGAATCACACGCAGACCTTGAAAACTAGGATACTTACTCGACGATAAAGAAGAAAAAAAAATGTCACAGCAAAAGTGGTAGTGGTCGTAGTAGTAGTAAGTAATAAGTAGTATGTACAGTATATGACATTATATTATTTAGTACGCCGATAATACAAAGTCTGTAGTAGTAGTAGTTGTAGTAGTAGTAGTAGTAGTAGTAGTAGTAGTAGTAGTAGGTATAGTAGGTAGTTGTAGTTGTAGTAGTGTAGTAGTAGTAATGGCGCGTCGAGTGGTGGGAAGGCGGCGAGGTGACGGGGCGTCACGTGGACGGGGTGGAGCAGTGGGGAGAGCGCGTATGCACGTTGCACTCGCACCACGCCACCGCCGCCGCCGGACGGCTCTCTCAATCGTGTGGATCTCTCGTCCCCGTGCTCTGTTCGCCGGCACACAATCGCGTCGCCGTCCTGAACGCTACACACTCGTCGGTAGTACAATCGCGAGTCAAATCGCAATCCGCGCCGCCAAACACGCCTAAACAGGTCGACAGTAAGTCGTAGGATATTGGCTCGAAATATTCCCATAAAGGTCCCACCGTCCGTCGTATCGCTCGTCGCCGCCTCAGTCGTTTGAATGTCCGCCGCCTGCCGTCGCCCGATCCGCAGTCGTCTTGCTCCGCATTCGAACCGCCGCAGCCAACCGACGACGCTGTCACGATGACGCCTCCGCCGCCGCCACCGCGTGCAGATCCCGAAGAAGACTCGACTGCCGCAAACGACCACCGCCGTCCTGTAACTTCGGACCACTGCACAACCGACGACGGTCAACGTACCACCGCCGCCGCTGCGATCACCATGTCAGCCCCTATCACAACCGCCGCCGACAACGTCGCGTACTTCCACCCGGCCGCTGCCGAAGGCGACGCCGACGACCACCACCACAGAACGTCGGCCACGAACGGTGGACGGCACGCGTCCGGAGCGCTGGACAGACACCAGTTGCCGCCGTCCACGCTAACGCCCGCGCAGTTCGAGATGAGTTACGGAACGCCGGCCGCCGCCGACCACAACGCCATGTCCAGCAAAGATAACCTGTTGACGCCCAGAGGTCAGTTGTTGTAGTTGTGGACAGTAATCTCCGTACAATAAGTTTAAATTAATAGTATATAATAATAATATTGGTCGTTGACGAGTTATTATTATGACTGAGATATAAGTTGATATTATGTCGAAAATCGTGATTTTGAAAGTTTCTGACGTTTGGGTGGACACTGGGGGGGTACAGTCTAGTATGTGTATACCCAATAATAAGTATAGTGTTATACTGTCACAAGTCATGAATATACCGGACCCAACCGGGTATCGCCAGCAACTATATACCAGATTTTAGGTTAGGACGACTAAAATAGATAGATAAAAGCCGAGCCGGTGCTCCTATCCGTTTCGTTTTCACATCACACGGCGTATATGCCTGCTATAAAAATATAATATGAACGGATAAAATATTATAATATTGTTATTATAACTTGCGCCTACATTTACCTGGTTATCGGCTACGCCAGCAGGTTACCTGCACGACACTGACTGGCCTGCCTACAGAGCACTATTTCGCCTACTAGGTAGGCCGAAATCCAGGTCGAATACACGATCCCGACGATTTCCGATTTTCGTCGGTCCATTCGTTTTCGTATTAATATAATAATACGATTCCTAATGTATAATATTATTATTACTATTTATTACCTATGATAATAATGCGCAAACAGGTTTAGTCCGGCGGTGAAGTTGTCTCCGAGTTTGCTCGATATCATTATCATATTTTATAATTATTATAATATAATTAATAATACAATCATATAATGACTATAATACCTATAGTATATAATAATCATTATGTTTCGACAACGACCATCGCGCGTGTAGTTTGGTAGTAGGTAGGTATTGTACGCGATATTGAATGGACAGTCTGTGGGCTTAAAATAGGTAGGTACTCATCGCATGTAACAGAAGAGTATTTATCAAGGTATTTATAATATTATATCTATGGACTATGACATTAATATTAATAATGGTTCCAAAATGACGAATCAGAAATCATGACAAGACCGTAATCTTCGTTTAAATGGTATTCTATAGTCAAATATAATGATAACAATACAATACACGCTGTACATTTGCTGGTATAATTCAACACGCGCACTCGGTCCATGCGTGTGTGTGTGTGTGTGTGTGTGTGTGTGTGTGTTATAATACCGATCCCGGGTGCATTATTGCGGTTGATTAAATAATAATATATTATTATCATTATCATGATTATTACAATAATTATACCTATAGGTACGTATTATGTCGATCAGATGATTGATTGATGGTGATGAGTTTGTATGTGTGTATCGTGTGTGCGTGTGTGGTAAATATCGGATCATGACCTAGAACATAGTAATAGGTATAATTTTATAGCGATAAATTTAGAACGGTTCGACGCACAATGTAAAATATCTATGATATTATTATTATTATCTATAATTGACATTTGACAATATTGTGTGGTACAACGTTTTGCGCTTTTTACAGATGTATCGAATTTTGTCGTATATAACGGTTAAAACAATATTGTTACCTACGGGGTACGATCATCGTCAAACAAAATCTTGTTCAACGATTGAAACGTTAAGAGTGTAGATATTATAGATACGCGTAATTCGCGACGATAAATCTCTCGATCTTTCTTGCAAATTTCCATTATTGTTTTTCACTCTACGGTCAAACACGAGAGTTGTGTGTCTTACTGTAGTTGTTGTTGAAATTAATACTTGCGCACACAAGCAGCTATAGTCACTGTTGTATTATTATTCCGACCGCGTACCTGACCTACCGTGCGGGGACGTTATACTGCACAACGGTTTCAGAATTCCCCGCAAACACTTAAAACACTTTGCGGTCAACCTTTGAATTGTGTTAGTACTCAATCTGTGAGAGTTTTTAGCACAAACATTTCTTTTTCTTTTTTTAATATCCGTTTCCCGGGATTTTCGCCCAATTACTACTACGTCATGTCCTATTGCTACCTTTATAAATGGTATGCATTTTTTTAAAAATGTACATTTCCTAATTAGAAGTATACCTAGATGTTTGATACTTTGATAGTTATGGTTTTAATTTAGATAATATAATATTTTTCATTACCATAAGCGTCTACGGTCTAGGTTTAAAGTAATAGGTACTTACCTATAACTTGATAAACCCAGTATACCGTATAAACGAATCGATAAAAACAAATGAAATGCAATTTACTAAAACACTTATTATTATTATTATTCGCTTATTATCGTACTTACCTACTCGTTTTAAATAAATTACAGCGACAATTCTTCAGTACGATTTTTATAATCAAAACAACGTTAATACAACATTCGAATGACGGGTTGGTGAAATAAGGTTATGATGGAAATAAACTCTTAGCCGTATAAAACTAGAGACATTTTTATGAATTTGAGCATTTTTTTCTCTCTTCAAGTAGAGGTGAGTCTTACCGTGTGACACGGATGTTTGGTAAATGATTACGATCACGCGACACATCAACACGCATGTCAAACATTTTTAATGAGAATTTTACTTTTGAGATCATGAAATGTAGAACCAATTGCGTATTTTAATATTACATTACATTTTTTTATTACACTTATATATACATATTATACAGGGTGCAAGATAGCGGATAAATAGCGGACACGTTTAATTAACCAACCGGCTATGTAATAACTTTTGTGCTTATAAATATTTATATTTATTTATTTTTTAAATATATACCTAACTAATAATTATAATCATATTATAATATCTAAATGAAAATTATATTTTTAAAAATGTATAAGCCTATTTTTGTGATAAATTCAAGAGTTTTGTATTTTACTTTCGATTAGGGTTTTGGCTCATTTCTAATACACAAATGTAGATACATATTATCTAAGTATTATACAGTACCTACCTAACGCTGTGTACAATAACATATATACACACAGAAACAGTCTTACACAAATGCCCCTCCAAACAGAGTGTAAACATTTTCAGATAGCAGTTGGTTTTACAGTCTACTCGTGGGTTTAAAACACCATGGCACTCCACAATTACTATTGCTTACTATTCACACTCAGAAAAATATCAGAATAAAACACCAATACCTATTTTTATCTATTTTTTAATGTTTAAGGATTTTGGTATCAGTCAATAAGTTCTGTAAAATACCGTTGAATAAATACCGTAATGACTATTTTTTATTTGGAAATGTTTAAGTTATAACTTATAAGTTATGAATTAAGAAATTAATTACTAAAAGCCGGGTTGCATAAACAATCACTAAACATTTAATGAATCGATAGTGAGCTAATTGTTCCTTAAACATAATTTAGTGGCCCATCAGTGGTCCATTAAATTTTAGTGAACCATTAAATTAATCAATTTTTTTTTATGCAACTCGGCATAAGCGTGATAGTAAGTTATTACAAGATAATTAATATATTTCAAGTGGGGTTTATGATATAATTTATCTTTTTTACCAAAGATACTGGTGGATCCAATGGGTGCTCTTTAAAAATATTGTTTCGGGCTTACCACGTTAAATTATGTATTGTGATGAGTGGAATATTATTAATCTTGTCTTGTAATTATCCCGTTTAGTTAGTTTTCTAGTAAAAGAGATATTTTTATAAAATAATACTGTAAAACAATAATTTAAAATACATGTACATGCATATATCTCTAGAATTTGGTCATTGTGTTGACTTGAATGTATTTATTTTCAATATAGCCAATGCAGGACATGTCTCATTCCTAAATTGTAACATACATTTTGGAATTTTACCAAAACTTTCAATAATTTGGATTATAATTCTCAACAAATTATTTAGACACAACAGAATATGTGTCTACCTACCTAATAATGAAAAATATTGGTTTTCATAAAATAAAATATGAGTATGGCTTAAAAATTAAATTAAAATATTATGACTTGTTTCTAGTTACATAATATTATAAACTATTACATTATTTAGTTTTAAATGCAGTCAATTTTAGCCTTGAAATATTTAATTAAAGTTTTGAAGATAATTTAATTTTTTTTTATATTCGAGTACAATATATTAATTTATACTTTATATAAGTCTAGTATAATATTATAGATTATTTTCTTACTCGATATAACAATTAACTCTGTAATAATCTGGAATAATATATTTTTTAAATGTAATTCGAGTTTACTGTTTTTCAAACGTTTTTTTATCTATACTTAACTATCAATCTTTTCGATTTACCTTATATCTTATTTTTTTTAAGATCTCTAAATATTATACTTTGTTGTGCACAACATTTACTAACAACATGACTAATCGATTAAAAACATTATTATTTTCAGTTTCGTTGATATAGATCTTATTATATTTATATCACGTTTCATAAATAATTTTACTGAGAACAATATTCACTAGTAACATGACTAATTGTGCACTTTGTTATCTCAATTTCGATGCACATCTTGTTCTATTTTTTTAAGATTCATAAATAATTTAGTTTAGAACAATAGGTAAAAGTTACATGACTAATTATTAAAGTATTAAATACAAACTTCAATTTTATAAAACATGTAGGTATGTAAGTTTGAGTTTCTATTTGAATTAATTATTATTCATTATAATAATTTTGATTAAAATTGTTCAGAATCTAATTAAAACATTTTGGTAGGTAGGTATATGATTTATTAACTAAATATTTTACTAAAACTACATGCTGTCATGATCTCATGAAATTATAACGGAATAAAAAAGTAAAACCATTTCTGATAATAAATGTTCTCAAACTTTACTAATAACAAAAGTATTTATCATGAAATAAAATACATTTCAATTATACATTTGAATATTTTTTTTTACTTTAGGTTTTAACATTTTAAAGGTCATTTACCCTTATTCATACATTGTATACGAGTTTTCATTATTTGTAAATACTAATTTACAATAAAATTCATGACTCTGATAAACTGAATTAATTATTGTACCTACTTCCATAATGTCCTGCATGACGTGTGATATATTTTATTTGTTTTTAAATATATTATTATGTAATGAAAA